GGTGATAAAACTCGGCAATAAAAAAATTAAAACTAGGCAAAAAAAAACTACCGTCAAATTGTCAGTAGTTACTTTTACAGATGTATATGAAGCAAGAAATGAACGTAAATCTCAAGTTGAAGAATGCGATGGAAAGAGATTTTTTCGTACATAATGTACAAATTAAATTAAAAATGTAATTCAATTCGAGATTTCTGATAAAACTAAAATCACGTAATACTGATGTGAAAGGATAACTTTCCAATAATCTTGAAGCAAGGTACAAAAAGAATGTTACGAATTTTAATGTAATGTTTATAGAATCACAACTGGACTGATAAAAAGAGTTAAATTGGATTGTAGTAATACAATACAAATCTCCATTATTATGTTAAAGCAATAACACGATTAGGCTATTTTGTATTATATCTTGCTCTATTAAAGATAGAATAATATTATTAACACTCGATAATTATCAACAAACTAGGAAATCTACTTCATCGTTTCTTCCGCCCCAAGTACAAGTCGTTTCTTCCGCCTTATATAAGTACAGAAACTTAAAGTAATTAGTAATTTAAATTTAAAAGAAATTTTAAAAGCAAGAATATTCTTATTGTTCTTTGTCCACTCTTTGCTGCCAAATTTCAGTTCAAACTACGGTTCAAGCAAAGGAGTGACATTAGAATTTAATAATGACACCAGTATCTCATTAACAGCCCTAAACTTTCTTGTAGCCTCCGTTTGAAGACGAATTTCATCACGGGATATTATTACTCTGAAGAAATGTCATAGTTTCAAAAGAATGGATTATTGTTTAAAGAATTGAATTGAGAATGCTGATTCATGTGTAGGGTATTTACCCACTAATTGTTATACATAATTTGATAAAACTTTTATCAAGCTACAGAGGATTCACGCGCTGAAGAAGTGAGTTAGAAATAACTCGTCCCTAATTGGAACTTCATAATTAGATGCACGTGCCACCAATTATCGTTTAACGAAGGATTAAATACAAACAATTGAATGAATGGGGCGACGTTCGTACAAATATTACACATAAAATAACCAACAATATCGGGGGAAAATAAGAGGGAAACGAAAGATGAAAATGTAGACCCCATTTATACACTTATGCACCCAGAAAAATGGACGGCTGACATGGTCCAAATATATAGTGACATAATTTCTTACCCGCAGCACAAGCAGAGAGGAAACTTAGCACAGATGCGACCTTTTGCCGGGCCAAACCGGGTCTGGATGACCCACAAAAAGGTAAACATTGCATTGTTTTTCGGACTAAGTTTCACTCATTTCTGTGAGTGTATGCCGACAGACGTCATCCGCGCCTACGTATTTCTGTGCGGACAGCATCTCGGAAATGGAGGGCCAAGTTGTGCAATGGGATCCGCTGCTGAAGTTGTTTTTGAAATAGTTTCTAGTTCAGAATTTTTGTGGTAAATGGAGCACCGAGAAACTTTGTGAGAGATCTCGGCAATGTGTAAACGAAAATGTGTAAATAAACATATGCAAGTTTGTGGATTTTTTACGCTTGGTTTGGTTTGGTTTATTTTGGTTTTTACATTTTTCACGTATTTTGTTTTGTAATTACGTTCTCGTCGTTATGAGTGAATTGTTTGTAGTGTTCAATATGACATTCTGAAATAGGCTGATTTTAATGTGATGAATTTCCTAACCCCCGCGAGATTTAATTGTAATTACCGATCAAAAATAATTGTTTGCTCTTCTTAGATATATAAGTAATAATAACTATCGAATGAAAAATATACATTTTCGAGCTTAATGTTACAAATAATCTTGATGAACTTCATTCACAAGAGCCGATCAATGCTTTCTATAACAATGTGTTTCTACAGCGCGTACGAACTGGGTTGTGAATGGCAGGAGTTACTCGAGTGGTATAGAACCTCTAGACTTGTTCACGCGTATAAGAAATGAGTTGGGACAAATTAGATAGCAACAGCCCATTCATAAAGTCACGCACCTTCCATTAATTAACCCAGTTACGCACCACTCATTCATTGGCTAAGTCACACACCACATGCGATAAAAAAATAAATGGGTTATTTTCTCTAAAAAGTGACACTCATGCCGTAACTGACCATGACACGCCATTTCGCCAGGAGTAAATTGAGTCAGAATGCCCTACACAGAGCAAAAAGTGCATCAATATTTGGACCAAGTCTCGTTTATTTCTCTGAGTGATTGAGATATGGAAGAACACGTTTATGTGTTCTAAATAGTGCCCCTGTGATGCCATTTAATTACTCGTATTGGGTCTCCGTTAAAAACTTCCGTAGAATTTCGTAAGGGAAAAATGTGAGCGTCGTAGTGAGATGACATTTTTTTTCGGTTAATCATGAAGAGTATGAACAGCAGAGTGAATTGAACTTATAATAAATAAATGAGAAAATTAAACTTGGATTTAAAAATGGCGTATATGAATAAAAAGAAAGAATGAAGCGAATGAATGCTGCCATGAAATTTCCAAATTACTGATTTTGAAGTAAAAATTAGTAATTTTGATGTTCATCGCAGCTAATGCTAGAAGAACAATATTCGTGACTAATCACTTACAATAAAGATTAATTATAAAATAAAACTTATTATTATATTTATACTATTGTTATACTTATACTATTATACTTACATAATAACTATTTTTTTGCATGTCGAAAGAGCTCAAGTTAAAGTATATTGTTATTTGATCTGTTCTTAGTTTTTCATTGCTGGAAACTGTTAATTATCATGCATCAAAATATCAAAAATTCCCTTTCATGTCCGATTATGTTTAAAATGTGATGTGGTTTTGTTCTAATTATCGTGCATTTCGATCTTTTATTTGCAGGCTTCTTCAATGCATGCGAGGTTATTATAGACTGCAGCAATTTAGGTTTCATACGTGCGAAAGACTCATCATATATAATATTCTGAGCAGCTTGTGCTTTGTTCCAAGCTCTGAAATAGTGAAAAAATTCTGCAAATTAAGACATGTTTTTGGGTAACATACGCATAAATACTGCCTTGAAAACCATTCTCAGTCGGCGAGTTTATACACGAGTTCACGGCATGTGTATGAAGTGAAGTCAATAAACAATTTCAGGTACGTTAGCTAGAAACGTTGCTTTTGCACACGCTTTTTTTATGAGAAAAATAAGAACTAGAATGTTTTTATGAAAAAAAAATTGTTTCAAAAGCATATCAGAAAAAAAATTTAGTGTAACATGTGATACGAAAGAACAAACGCTGATATTAAACATGAATAAAAACAGGAAATTAGTTGAACTTTTAAACGCGGGACATTTCACTCAACAACTCTACGTATTCCCCGGCTTGGAAATATCATTGAATATTTGATTACTGATCAAATCAAACTGAAGGAAGCAATGGCCGCAATTTTCCCTTAAGAATATAAGTGCGTAAAAATTGGCTGCCTGAATTTCAGTCGAAAAAAAAATATTGTGAAATTTATTCGAAATAGCCATTATCACACGGGGTAATGAGAGTCAATTGAGAGAAGAAAAGTAAATCTATGAAGCGCGACAAAAATGTAAAATTGTGCACGAGTTTCGATTAAGAAAATAAATTTGAGCGAAAATAATGACTGAACAGTGAACTGATCAGAAACATACTTAGGCCAGCAAGGATACATTATATATAGAAGAACGAGTGGCATCACGGGTCCACGATGTATTCCGGGGCCATCATGTCAGCCAAACTGCGGGCCTCGCAGCGGGCCCACAAGGCCAACCACCTCAAGAACCTGGCCCACAACTACCAGACCCCACAGTACCATCCGGAGGCTGGGGCCCCGGGACAGACCACAAGTCAGCAAACTTCAGTACCAGGTTAGACCCTAGATATTAAGCTAGTCTTGGGTCTACAAACTCCGGCATCAGATTAGACCCTAAGGTATGTTAAGGCGCTGAGCCGGTCGCGGGTCTAAAAACTTCTGCATAAGGTTAGACCCTATATAAATTTTGAGCAAGATTTGAGCCGGTAGCGGATCTGTAACCTCCAGTGCCAGGTTAAATTCTAAAAATTGTGTAAGCTTTGAGCTGATCGTCGGTCCACAGTCTTCCGCATCCGGTTAAACGCAAGGTAATTTCAAGAATGTCTCATTTCACGTTATGAATAAATATTATTATCAAAATTCGCCATTAAAATGTATTTACGGCCAGTCTTTACTTTAACTCTGAATAACAGAATCAATGTCTGTAATGATATATAAATAAACAGTTCTGGCCAAAAAAATTAGAGATAATAAGTATATCAATTTTAGGTAGGATCCGATTACTTAACTTCGATAACTGAGAATAGAAATTAAGACCCAACTATTTTAGATACACATTTTAGTGCAGTCTTGAGTCCTAAAATAGCTTCATCACCACATCCAACGGCCAGAAATAACCATTTCTAGCAACGCTTATAAAAAGCGGTTTTTGCAATTATTTTTTATTCTACTTAAATATTAATTTAATACGAACTTAAATCTCAGGCCAGATGTTATCCTCAGCTTGACAGTGAAACTGAAAATTCCAACTTCATCATGAGAAAATAAATTATAGGAAATTAAATATTGAGGCAAATAATCAACAGTGCAAACTATAACATACAACATCTTCAGGCCAGAAGCTGCAAAGAGGAAACTACAGCGAGGAACAACAAACCACTAAAAAGCTGTTACAATATCATAGATTTTTACCTTAATTATACATAAAACAAAAACCTTTGAATTTAAGCTGATTTGACCACTGCAACCTTCAATAATTTGCTCTCTCATCGTGTCATACAATAGAATCTTCACCATAACAATTGGACAAAAAATAACCATTCCTGGACAATAACCAAAAAAGAACTATATGTTATTTTTCTTAATATACTAATAGTGAATAGTGTCAACTATTAAAGAAACCTTACGCTAATATTGAGCACACTCCCCAGGTCACCAGCTGTGCCGCAACCTGAACATTTTCAGCGCCGGCCCGAAGCAGGAAAAACTACCGTCGGCCGAGTGTGGCGCGAGCGGCTCGTTCTTCCCTCGACGGTCGCAGGCGCGGCGCGAGTGGAGCCTCCAGGCCGTCAAGGGCAAGGTCACCACCTCCTGCCTCTGGAACGCCTGTAAAGCCCTCACTCTGGGCACACTGCTCATACTTATAGGTGCTGCCATGGCCACCATCGGTGAGATATTGGGAGTTTAATTGTTTTACTTTGTTTTATTGTTTGTACTTTATTGTCTTACTTTGTTTATTGTCTTACTTTGTTTTACTTTGTTTTATTGTTTTACTTTGTTTATTGTCTTACTTTGTTTTACTTTGTTTTATTGTTTTACTTTGTTTTACTTTATTTTATTGTTTTACTTTGTTTTATTGTTTTACTTTGTTTTATTGTTTTACTTTGTTTTATAGTTTTACTTTGTTTTATTGTTTGTATTTTCGCCCTCATTGTAATTATTTTCTTTGTGGAAAAACGCAAATAACTTCTACAATAGTTTTTAATAAATTATATTGTTGAAATTTTGAATAAATTATATTATATAAATTATAAATAAATTATATTGAAATTATAAATAAATTATATTGTAGAAAAGTTTTAATAACTTCCCCCTTCGTTGATAATAACTTAAAATTTTTAAACTTGTAATTAATTTCTACCCTAGTTGTTAATAATTTCCATAATTAAACATTGTTAAAAACTTCCACCCTGAACCTTGATTGTTGACATCTCCGTTTCAAAATTAGTAACTCGACTGTTAATTTCAATTAGCGTTGATTCGTTATTATTTTTAATGACTAGAGAATGTACATGATTAGAGATTTCTATGGAGGTGAGCTGCTTGATTTTTAAATATTTCTTTTAAATCACTACCAAATTTTGTACTTCAAAAGGCCTATGCCACAGAATGCTAAAATTACAGCTCTTAATAATTATTCGATTCGGTGCAGGACGCTTTCATCCTGCTTATGATATGTGCTAGAAGTGAGGAAAAATTTCATAATTTTCTAGAGAATTGTTTATATGATGAAGTTTTGTCATTTGTTAGAAATTTTCAAAGCGAGAAGATTTGTACTTGAATAACTGAGTGCATCAATGTCCAAGTTTCCTCATATAAACGACCCCGCATGCGGACAATTTGCTCAGTACGGGAAAATTTAAACTTATATTTATAAATGAAACAGAGATACCCTGCGTTAAAGTCATTCAAATATTCAGCAGTTGGTTTCGATTAGTTGTTGCGTTCCTTCGAATTAAGATTCTGTGCTACACGTGAGTATTTAGGTGCTGAGTTACACTCGCTTATTTAGGTGCCGTGTGACTCGAGCATGTTTAGGTGCCGTGTAACACTCGCTTATTTAGGTGCTTTGTTAAAAGCGCGTATTTAGGAGCCGTGTTACACGCGCGTATTTATGTGCCGTGTTGCAGGTGCCTATTTAGGTGCCGTGTTACACACGCGTATTTAGGTGCCGTGTTACACACGCGTATCTAGGTGCCGTGTTACACGCGCTTATTTATGTGCCGTGTTGCAGGTGCCTATTTAGGTGCCGTGTTACATACGCGTATTTAGGTGCCGTGTTGCACTCGCGTATGTAGATGCCGTGTTGCACTCGCGTATTAAGGGGCCATGTTACACACGCGTATTTAGGTGCCGTGTTACACGCGCGTATTTAGGTGCCGTGTTGCACTCGCGTATTTAGGTGCCGTGTTACACGCACGTATTTAGGTGCCGTGTAACACGCGCGTATTTAGGTGCCGTGTTACACACGCGTATTTAGGTGCCGCGTTACACACGCGTATTTAGGTGCCGTGTTACACTCGCGTATTTAGGTGCCGTGTTACACGCACGTATTTAGGTGCCGTGTAACACGCGCGTATTTAGGTGCCGTGTAACACACGCGTATTTAGGTGCCGTGTTACTCGCGCGTATTTAGGTGCCGTGTTACACACGCATATTTAGGAGCCGTGTAAAACGCGCGCATTTAGGTGCTGTGTAACACGCGGTGTAACACGCGCGTATTTAGGTGCCATGTAACATCCGCGTATTTAGGTGCCGTGTTACACGCGCGTAGTTAGGAGCCGTGTAAAACGCGCGCATTTAGGTGCCATGTAACACGCGCGTATTTAGGTGCCATATAACATCCGCGTATTTAGGTGCCGTGTAAAACGCGCGCATTTAGGTGCCGTGTAACACGCGGTGTAACACGCGCGTATTTAGGTGCCATGTAACACGCGCGTATTTAGGTGCCGTGTTACACTCGTGTATTTGAGTGCCGTGTTATTACACGCGCGTATTCAGGCCCTGGGCTCGCAATGATAAAGCATGCCTGGCGCTTGTCACAGGGACCAGCATGGCCTCTTTAAAGGATCCCTGCTCTGTATTAGTGAGGCGTATCCAGAGAGGGCAAGCATGTATTTAGGATACATTAATATTGACGAGTTTTTTGGAATTCAGGACATCGTTCAATGTCCTTTGAAATTGATGGGACAAAAATTGAAGATTTTATTGCAATATATGATCATTAAATGTTTAATGATCGTGGGATAGCGATCGAAATAATTCAACGCATCTTGAAACGAAAATATAATATTATTATATATTATTATTAATTCATATATTATTATTATATATTATATAATAGTATTATATTATATTCTATTTCATATAATGAATTTTTGCCGCAATTATAAATTATGGAAGCGTAGTCTTGGTGAATTAGTGTTAGATTTTCGTCGTATATAAAATAGTGTTGTTAATAAACGTCTTTTAGTTAGTTCAGCATTATTTTATATAACTACTTGCTAGTTCAGCATTGAATTGACGATGCCCGGGAAGTTATTTTATATTTTAGAGGTTGTTTTCTGTGCTCATATTTTTCGCTAGCATCTTCCGGAATATTTTGGCATTCATTGTTCATGGAAATATGAATGACTTTTTTTTTATACAGCGCGATACCAATGTAAATAATTTATATTTGACCACAACATTTGAAAAATTTATGATAACTATATAAAGTTCACCGATAATCAGAACAAAATATCAGCAATAAAAATGGGAGTTCTTTTTGGGGTAGAAAATTAAATTGGATTCAAGTTTTTCGGCTCGTACCTGCGATGAAAATTTTGTGTACCCGCGATTCTGCGAAGTTAACGAAGAGCGACGCTCGTGATGAGGCGTTCATGACTTATGGATTTTGGGGGAGTTTCATGGGGAGTGAGGAAATTTTTTCAATTATTTTACATCAAAAATGTATTTGTTTGTGCCGAATGCACCTGATCCGGGCCTAAACCACTTACTTAATTTCTTCATACCTTAACTCTGATGAGTAAGTCGCCAGGAGATGGCGGTAAATTTTTACTTAGAATTGTCTTCCATGCTTTTATGATGACAATGATAAGAAAGTTTTAGAAATTACGATGTGTGTAAAATGTATTATATTATAATTAGGATACTTTTTTGTGTAAAATTATCGAGTGTGCGAAATTATCTTTCAGCATTTAATGACGCGATCGTGAGACTTTTCAATACTATCAATATTGGAAAAATATTTACGAATCGTTAATGGAAACGAAATCGAGTACCGTTATCAAAGTATCAAAAGTTATGTAAGGCAAAGATTTTGAGATGAAGGACGGAAATTATTTAGAACGATTTAAATCTACCGCTTTACAGCTGCAAGTAACGTAGGTTTCTAAAGATACTAATTTAATATACACAACCATTTCACGGGTCACAGCAAGTATACTTTATCGACTACCATCGGTTTATTGTCGGTTTCATCTCTGCTATTACCGCACATCAATTGCCGCTCCGTTAAAACTTTTGCCCACGAAACAATTTAATTTGTACAAAGCCTACATTACGAAATTCTCCAGGCTACTACGCAGAAGAAGAAGAATTGCGTCGCCTTGCGGCCAAGCCAGGCTCTTCAGAACCCATTGTTGAACCCACCTCCGGCACATACGTTCCCTTGCCGCCCTCATTCCCCGACATGCACCCACACGCGCCTCACTTGGGTGTGGTGGCCTCAACCAACACGTCGGGATCACACAGAGGAGGGGGATATAACCCCATAACGAAGGGTGGGCGACCCCCACCGCTACAGGTGGGCTCAGATCAATGGAATTTGACTATTGAAATGGGGGATTTCAACCTTATCATGAAGTATGCAGGGCGACTCGCTTATTGGATGCGGCCCTGTCTATGAAATAAGTGCCCATATAGGACTTTGGGAACAAGTCGCTTCGGCAGTTCGGCTCAGGGCCTATACTTTACAAAAAAGTTAAGAGATCGTAAGTTCATCAGCCAATCATTGACGGCCTTTCAAGCAGAATCCACCAATCATAGACAAGAAAATAGAGCGTAAGTTCTTACGTTCACTTAGCGAGTTTTGAAAGTATGGCCCTTGGACTTGAAGGGCAGCCTCTGGGCAGCTTGCGCATGCTCGGTATGACTCGGCTTGGCCAACTCTTCTCTTATTCTCAGGCGACTGTAAAGTCGGCAAGGAAATTAATTCTGATCAAAAACTTATTTCGATCGGGCGTGAAGCAGACCCAGAATGAAAATCTTATTGGCATTAATTTTTAGGGGTCCGTGGGCAGAATATAACCGAGTATGTTTCTTAGAAACGAATTGTTTAAAAACTAATAAAATAAATAAACGAAAGCGAAGCCAAAATTATATTTATGCTTGTAATAATGTATTATAGTCTTTTAGTAAAACATTCATGCAGTTTTAATAAAGAAACAATCCAATGTACACCTGTTTTTCAGAATATAATTCCGCACATTTTATTACCCGAATTTTATAAATGCAGGCTAACCACCACGCTGAGGACATTGCATCTGTTGATGAAGGCCACATTGAAAAACCTGAAGATATCGCACCGCAGCAACCTCCTGACGAAGGGGGTGAAGTGGTGAGCATATGAGCAGGTGTAGGGTATATGCAGAGGTGGGCAGTAGCGCGCTACATATAGCGGCCGCTGCATTTTTAGTAGCGGTAGCGGTAGCGGCGCTACATTTAAGTAATTGTAGCGGTAGCGCCCGCTACATTTAGAGCATGTAGCGGTAGCGGTAGCGGCCGCTACATTTCAAAGTAGCGCTGCCCAGCACTGGGTATATGTAGGCGAAATTGTGAGCGTATGAGCGGGTGTAGGGTATATGTAGGCGAAATTGTGAGCGTATGAGCGAGTGTAGGGTATATGTAGGCGAAATTGTGAGCGTATGAGCGAGTGTACTCAGTGTAGGGTATATGTAGGTGAAATTATGAGCATATGAGCAGGTGTAGGGTATTTGTAGGTGAAATTATGAGCATATGAGCAGGTGTAGCGTATTTGTAGGTGAAATTATGAGCATATGAGCGGGTGTAGGGTATACGTATAGGCGAAATTGTGAGCATATGAGCGGGTGTAGGGTATATGTAGGTGAAATTATGAGCATATGAGCGGGTGTAGGGTATATGTAGGTGAAATTATGAGCATATGAGCGGGTGTAGGGTATATGTAGGTGAAATTATGAGCATATGAGCAGGTGTAGGGTATATGTAGGTGAAATTGTAAGCATATGAGCGGGTGTAGGATATACGTATAGGCGAAATTGTGAGCATGTGCTACATTTAGAGCATGTAGCGGTAGCGGTAGCGGCGCTACATTTCAAAGTAGCGCTGCCCAGCTCTGGACTATATGTAGGCAAAATGATGAGCATATGGACGGGTATAGGGTATATGTTGGCAGAATGGTGAGTGTATGAGATATACAGGAATGTAGATGGAGGAGCAGAGAGTGTAAGAAAGAAGTTGGACGCATAACTTTTGTAAGTAAGAAATTCGATTACGATGCGTGGGAGGCATGAAGAGAAGCAGGATTAACGAAAGCAAGGTTGGGAGAAGGAGGTGAGAAAGAAGAGAAGATGATGAGATAGAGGAGTGGCCGAAACATGAGTGGCCGAATTAGGATTTAGGTTCCAAATGAAACTGTGAAAAAGTGAGTGATAATTAAAAGATATTGAAATGGATGGAATCCACACAAAATTGTGGTGAAAATTAATAAAACGAGTAATCATGGTGCTGACAACGACGTAGTCATAACTTTGTTTTCAACGAAGTTTTCATAGATATTTTTATCACAAAATTGGTGCAATTTTTCTACTATTTAAAACTTACTAGAAATTATTTTCTTGAAATTATATTCTGGCAGCTTTTAAAATTTCTTTTTTTCAGGTGCCAGTGTACATCTCGAGCTACATCCCCTACAAGGACTTAGGGCTCAACAAGCTCGCCTACATCGGCCCCATTGTCATGGGGTTTGGAGGTAACGCTGTTCTTCATATTCATAACAATATATTAAAAATCAGCCAATAAACTGAATGAATTTAACTGGAATTATTTACTTTCATTTAATATTCGCAAAGATTGGAATTAAATTTAATTTTAAATTGTATAGGAATTTACGGAGACCTTTGCATTTGAATTCTTGCTTATAAAATCATAATTTTAAATTCATCAATTGACAATGTCAAAATATATAAATAGAAAAAATTATGTGGCTGTTAAATTATTGTTTAAATAATAATGTGTTGTTCAGGCTTCGTGATTGTGGCGGCGTGCGTGATGACGTTCGAGGCCCGCGATAGCGCCGCGAAGATAGTGCCAGCCCGCTTCCGGAAAACATTTCCGGAGAAACCGGTAGAGAAAGATGAAGATCCCGGCTTCCGGCACTCAGCAGCCCAAACTAAATGGGATCCAATGGCTATGCATACCGCAGATTCATACAGCTCGTACAATAACAAAGAATTTAACAGGAAGGCCATGACTTTAGCCTTCATAAAGTTCTCTAAGACTTTTCAAAAGAGTGTTGATTCATCCGCGGAATACTACGACTGGAAAGGAGTTCATCATCTGATTAAGTGCCCTTCAGCTCCGTCGTTGGTGCCTGAATGTCTGAAGGAAGAGAGAAGGCAGGCGGGAATCGAGGCTCCGAGGATTCTTCGAGTGTGCGTTCCGCGTCCTCAATCGCGACGTTTATCCACAAACGTCCTCCCACGTCAGACGATGTCAGTTGACAACCCCGCTATTCGCGAGGTCTGTACCTCAGCCCTGCCCTCATTTGCAGGTGAACGAAAATGTGATGAAGAAATGGAATTAGGGGCTTCAGCTACCGCCGTGCATCAAGCCGACAGTGATTCTAACCTGGCTCTAGATCTTCACCTTCCACAGTGCGCGGTCACTCTCATGGTTAGGGACAGCTCCAGGTCGCCCATTGCCAAGACACACTTGGACGAAGAAATCCCGTCCATCGCAGAGTCGGTTCCGATGACTCAATCAGATTCTTCAAGACCATCGAGTTATCAGGCTCACTTTAAAGTCGACAAACAAACATCGACGGCCGAGAATAGGGAATTAACGTCATTTGGCTGGTCCAAAGAGACTTCTGGATCACGTGACGCTGGTTTTTCCAGCGGAGGTTCGTTCAGAGAACCCAAACGACCACACGCCAGTCGAAAAGTAAAGCGAAGTGAGACCATTGACACCGCATCCACACACCACCGTCGACACCACAATCACCATCACCACACATCTCATCACCGCCACAATTCACCACACTTGCAGTCGTCCCAGCGGGCGTCGTCAGCGAGGAGCGTCGCAGGACGCAGTCCAGGAGACAGCCTGCGCCATAAGCTGGTAAGCTCGCGCAGCGAGACAGGGCGAAGGCATCAGCTTCTTCGGCAGTCCAAGTTTGAGGCAAGCGGTTCACACGAGGAGCTCAAGAATCAGGCTCCTTTCAATGTTTAGTCTCGATTGATTTCGATTGGGAAGGATGCTGAAAAATATTTTGGTATTGGAATGTTCGAGAGAAATTTTGAGTTCACATTTGCATCACCCAGGGCTGGTATTAGAAGAAAATATATAGTAATCTGTGCTTGGTCTCTCAATCGGCATCCGGTTCCGTGATGGGCCAGTAATGTTAAATACATTTTGGCTAGCACTTGTTGGCATGGAATGACTTTGAATAACTTTGCAACTCTGTTGGTTACGTATAATTCTTATTATTTTGGTTAGCATTCTTCCAGTTGACGTGCCGTCATTCAATAAACTCGTATGAATGCTATTCCGAGCGGGGGCAAATAAAAGCAAATAATTTATCCGAGCAAGTCATTTTCGAGCTCATGAGAAAGTTCACGACAGAAAATCCTTCATATAATTTAAGAGGCGTGGTACGCCAGTGTGAGATCTAACCATTTATGTCACTTTAACCCTGAAACAATTTATTGGACAAATTTCAAAAGCGCCTCATCGTTCAGCACAGCTTGTGAAGTTGTAGACTTTCAGACGTGATTTTGATCGTGGCTGGAAACTTGACCGTATCTACATCAGTGAACACTGGTCGCCGAACCCCTACATTTTAACAAATTCGCTCTGAGTTATTATACGTGGACGACAATATTTTACCTCAAAAACGAGAGTTGCAAGATTTTTATTGATAAGAGGACAGTGCACAATGTGTTTTTGCTAACATTAACAATCAAAAACAGATATTGGCTTTCATTCGTAGCGTGCTAGGAGCGCTCGGAACTTGTATTTGTTAATGAAAATTATTAATATATATTTATTTGTACGTGAATTTAGTATTAGACCTAACCAGAAACTTATTAAATAATATAGAGATTACACATTATATGTATGCCAATTTTGTATATGACCACCTAAGACCTTGTAGAAATTAGATTTTAGAAACCTAGTTCAAATCTGGATGTAGCGGCCTGATGTTGTGGTTTTATATGTAGGTTGATGTAATCCGTGGCTGAATGGAATTTTAATTCAACATACGAGATGATTTTTATGAGAACATGTAACATGTTTGTGAAATCATGGGATAAGGAATAATTTTTGACGATCTTTCCCCAGTAGAATGATCATTTCGATAAATATATCAACAATAATGCGCTCTGAGTAGCATTAATTGTGAAAAGCGATATTGAGAGAGCTTGACACTAAAAATTGACTTCAGACGATAAGATTCCCTAATTGGCGCAAGTAAAATATTCAAATAGAACAGACGAAGAAAATCGTTCAAAGTGAACTAATTCGCTCACTAGTAAAAAAATGCATTTATGACCGTCCTTAGGATGCATTTATGACCGATGACCGTTTTTTATAGGTGCCGCCATTAATATAGATTTGTTAATGTCTCTGTGATGCATGCGGCATCAGGAGTGGGATATCATATTGATACCGCATATTGAGTGGGCACTCATTGATGAGAACAAAGATATGATTAGAAAAAAGCAATTTGAGTTCATGATCAACGAAGGTATATATATATTATCACAATTTTTATCCCGATGAATTACACGAATTTTTGAAAAAAAATTAGGAATGAAGAAATTCCAGTTTCGGAAGTTTTGAAATGTAAATGTACTGATTAGGTTATTGCCGAAACTTATTAGAATTTTCTCCGAAAAGATAACAAATGGAACGCCTAAAATCATGCGACCGAAAATTTGTTTAATCGTTGGAAAATCCATGTAGACGCGCGAACGATCACTAATCTAGATGTAAATTCATAGCTGTGCAGTGTTATATTAGTCGATGTCTTTCACGTTGAAGAAGGTTTTAATCATAATTAGATATTGGTTGTTAGCAACGATTCCAATTTGGTACGTTAAGATTCTCGAGTATATTTTGTATATTATTGCAGTGATTCGATGCCACTGATGATTGTGAGCATTTATTGGTTGAAAAATCTTTATTATTTATGAACTTCACTTGAAGCTTAAAATTTAGAAAAGGTGATTTTTATTTTTATTTTTTTGAGAAGGTCAGTATTAATGCTAAAGGAATTTTATCAGTTTGGTAATGAATATTTCGACAGGATTAATATTTTAGACGGTGATGAAAATTAACGATGATAAGAAAATTAACTATTTAATTTGTGATGGTTCAAATGTTACGTGAAATTGAAAAGTGTTTCTTATTCACGTTTACGTTGATCACAAAAAGTTGACGCAATTAATAATTCCGATAATCACGTTTAAATGTCACCGATGTCTGTTTTCAAAGTTCTATTTATTGACTAGATGTAAAAATCAGTGATTACTAGACGGCTGGCTCTCAGTGGCCGCGCCTCAACGATGTCTTTCACCCTGCGCAACTTCCAGCTTTACTATCGTATTAACTTCACGAGCTCTAGAAATGTTATGAACTTCAAATGTCTAGTAGTGTGTAAACATCTTCGGTTTACTTGTGTCTAGCTTATTAATAAATGAATACATTGAAATCAGTGGGATATATGTGGATTATTTAGTATATTGTAAGAGATGCCTTTATTGAAAGGTAAAACAGATTTTGTCGTTTAATAAAGAAGGAAATCTACCATTCAATTCATTGTAGAAAATGTATGACAATCATAAATGCTAAATTTATTCACATTCAACATTACTAAATTCAACAGTGTAATGATGTACCATTTCTCGAATAGCTGAGTTGATTACACACATTGATGGCAAGAATGTTACCGCTCATAAATTTACGCTTACCACTTACGAAGAGGATATTTTTTTTGAAAAAGCGTTTATACGGCTATCGCAATAAAAATATTTTTCTCGCTTAAATCAGTCATTGGGCAAATATTTTGGAATATTTTTCCTAAAATATGGTGCGAAGGTGATGGAAGGTATATTTTTTGGGATTGATCGTATTCAAACTGCACTAATAGAGCGACGAAATTCATTTTAATTTATTTTAGCGAAGTGAATGAGAACGTATTTATAGTCACATCCATGATATTTCATACAACTTTTTGGTACGACAAAATGTTCGCATGAGCAAAAATTTTCAAGATTAGGTTCTTCTACTATGGAGTCCATAGTATAAAACACACACGAACTGTTTCCAAATAGTAAATATAATATAGTGAATGGAAAATTTAATAAATCTAGAAGCCAAAAGCCAATGTTCACGCATGGCTTGCTGTTAAAATTTGAAAAAACGTCTTTTCCAGACCATTTTATTGTTGCAAAATGTTTCATTCTGTTTTCGATCCTATACGATCCTTCCTATCTGATTTCTGTTCGATCAACATATCACTATGTTGATTTTTAAGGAATATAAAACTAAATACTTTGATTAAATAATACATTGAAGATGGTAAAGTTTTGTAGATGGGAATGTTCATGGTACCTCACGTTACTTGCATTTCAAAGCACAGATTTTATCAGTTTCTCGAATTGAAACGACTCCTAAGCCTTGAATAACAGACTGAAACTAATATTGTTGAACCATGTGAACTACCACCCATTTATATTATAGATTCCATCCAACTGATTCTGTATCAGCTGGATTCAACAAAGGTGTGTTCTTTTTTTTTGACTAGTTAAATACAACGTATTTTCATTTGTTTCATCGTGAAATTATTGGTAATAGTGTATTCTTCATTGTCATTTGGGGCGTTGGCCTAACTGTCCCTCATAAGTTGCCAAGTGTTCGACAATAAAATAGTGACGTTTGAAAATTGCATTTATTCCCAATTACTTCTCGTATTGAAGCAAATTATATATCAATTTCCATCAATGACGCATAGGTCGCCACCCTGCAGATACCACACTTACCTCGACGTTTGTTGATAAAAACCATATAATACTGATTAGTATTAAGATTTCTAGGGTTAGATCGTCACAAAATATCTAAAAAGCTTTTTCGATTGTGCTAAAAAGTCGTGCATCAGTTTGTTAACAGTATCCTTTTAAATAACGGATGAAGAACCTTATTAAACCGAACAGTCTGCCATGAAATTGAAATATTTTCTAAATCAGGTCACATTCATGGCGTGATGATTTTCGCTGCAAATATTTTCTTTTTATGAATGGGGTTAAAATTATACCCAAAATGATCCTTGGGTAATTTTCTATACATTTAATTTAAATTTTATTGTTCCATCGAATGTAGTTAGATTTTTTCCCTTCAAACAACGAAGATTAAAAAATGGGCTATGAAATATGTACAATACTAAGTTTCACTGCCTAATCAAATGCTTCTCTCTTAATGCGAGGAGAAATTTATTGCAAACTGATATGAATTTTTTTCAAAATGAATAGTGGAAATCACGGTACATTTCCGAATGCTTATATGAAATTTACCATTCTTTCTCAATGTTCCTATTCTTTTCTATGAAGCTTTCATCCAACGGCAACACTGTATTTAAAAGGTAGATGTGTTCTGAAATGTTTTCATTTCGAAACAAAGCTTTCAGCATGGTTGAACAAGTACATAGTTCAACCATGGTTTTCAGTTTGAGTGTTTTTCTTTATCGGGTGAGTTCTTACAATTATTTTCTTCCCCAAGCCACCTTTAATTATAGTGCCACTGCAGGGCATGTATGGCATGATGGCGTAGTGATGTTAGTGATGGCAGCACCAGGCGTGTGGTGCCACTGCAGGGCATGTATGGCATGATGTCGTAGTGATGTTAGTTATGGCAGCACCAGGCGTGTGGTGCCACTGCCGGGCATGGATGGCATGATGGCGTAGTGATGTTAGTTATGGCAGCACCAGGCGTGTGGTGCCACTGCAGGGCATGGATGGCATGATGGCGTAGTGATGTTAGTTATGGCAGCACCAGGCGTGTGGTGCCACTGCAGGGCATTATGGCATGACGTCGTCGTGATGTTAGTGATGGCAGCACCAGGCGTGTGGTGCCACTGCAGGGCATTATGGCATGATGGCGTAGTGATGTTAGTGATGGCAGCACCAGGCCGTGTGGTGCCAACACCTGAGCATCTTTGCAGAGTTGCAGCT